GTGTGTGTGTGTGTGTGTGTGTGTGTGTGTGTGTGTAGGAGTGGCCTGAGGAGTCCTTTTGGCTGCCACTTGTCTCTAGTAGCCAGGGCTGCTATTCCTACAGGCTGCCTCTTGTCCAGGCTCCGTCCTTAGAGTTCCTTGTCCCTGCTCTGGTGCTGACCAGCCAGAAGCTACCTCTGGCCATCCGGACACCTGGAAACTGTGAGCACAGAGCAAGGGCACAGGGTGAGGGGGGAGTGGAGTGCCAGTCTGAGCCTCCAGACCTGGGTGGGCACAGGATTGAGAGTGGGCAGTGGTGGGAACTGCTAGGCTATGGGGTCTTGGAGCTGTGCCCCGGACCAGCAAGGACTGTAGAACAATGGGGCTCTGTCCCACTTACCTCTCTCCTCTCCACGCCCCCAACTTTCCCCAGCCTCCCTTGTGCTGCGCCTGTGTGGGGGGCCTGGCTGCCATGGCCTGGCGCTCCGGAACACTTCTCTCCGAGAGGTGAGTGCCTGGGGATGGCGAGCAGGAGGGCTGAAGGTGGTGCCAGGATGGAGGAGGTTCCTGTTTCCATTTGCTGGGGCCTGAGATGATCTGGGGGAAGGAGTTGGGACAGAGACCCGCCCCCTGGGATTAGTTGAGAAGTCCACGCTGAGGTCAACTTGATGGAGCAGAATGCACCCTCTTTGTCTTTTTCTCGGCTTCTACAGGTGTCCGGGGCTGTGGTGGTATCTGGGGTGCTGCAGGGAACGCTGGGGCTGCTGGGGAGTCCTGGCCATTTGTTCTCCCACTGTGGGCCCCTGGTGCTGGCCCCCAGCCTGGTGGTGGCAGGGTTCTCTGCCCACAGGGAGGTGTCCCTTTTCTGCTCTACTCACTGGGGCCTGGCCTTGCTGTACGTAAGTCCTGAGGGGCATGGGGTGGTGACCAGTGGGCTGTGCGGGACTGGGGGAGGGCAGAGCAGCTGGCCCTACCCGATTCAGCAGCCATCTGAGCAGGGACAATGCTTTGTGGATTTGGAATCCAGGACTTTCGCTGGGTTCATGTGGTCTCCCTGGCTTTCACACCGTGCCCTGCTGCCCCTCCAAGGTGTCCTCCTCCTTCTCTTCTCTGGGATCCCTGTTAGGGAATTCTGCCCCTCCTCTACCTCCCTTACCCCCCTCAGGATGCCTGCTTCCTTTTGCTCCTAAAGCTCTTTCTCTCCCCTAGGCTTATCCTGGTCATGGTGATCTGTTCTCAGCACCTGGGCTCCTGCCAGTTACCTCGGTGCCCCTGGAGGCCAGCTGCAGCCTCCTCGCCTCACACTCACATTCCTGTCTTCCGGCTCTTCTCGGTATGTTGGGGTCTGGGCAGGGCGAGTTGAGGTGAGAAGGGCTGGCATGGAACGCTTGATTGGCCCGCTACCTTTGTGGTTTCTGTCTACCCCTCGAAGGCTGGCTTGGAAGGTTCCGGTCTCAATCTCGCCCCTCAGGTGCTGATACCAGTGGCCTGTGTGTGGATCATCTCTGCCCTTCTGGGGCTGAGCGTCATCCCCCCGGAGCTGTCTGCCTCCCCCAAGGCACCATGGGTTTGGCTGCCTCACCCAGGTAGGTCTGCTCTTCGTCCTTCAGCCTCTTAACTCAAATCAGAGGTCTATTTCTTTGAACTCAAGATTTAGCGAATTTCATTTCTGAGTTAAATCCTGTGCTTTCTCAAAACACCCAGGGGAGAGAAATTGCCAGTCCGAAGGGCAATACCAGCCCCTCACCACAGGTGTTTTATTTAGTGTTAAGAGACATCTGCAAGCCCATCACTCCCTGTTAATAATCCTCATCCGATTTACACACTTATGCTACCTACCCTCACAAGCATTGGAGTTGGTGGCCCTACATATGAAGTTTGCTTTTGAGGCATTGTGTACAAAAGTTGTTCATTCGTCAACTTAATAGAGGTCTGTTGAGTGCTGATTATGTGCTGGGCATGTAGGGGACGTGGTGTTAAATATGACAGACGCAGTACCTATACTCAGGAAGGTTATATCTGCTAGGGAATGCAGATACTAATTAAACAGTCACCCAAGTAAATTGAAAATTACATGTGGTAAGTGTAACAATGGGGAGATGCATTGTGTAATGGCAGCTTATAACGGAGAATCTGACTTTACCAGAGAGATCAGGAAAACTGTTCTTGAGAAAGCGATCTTTGAGCTGAGATGTGAGAAGTGAGGAGGTGCTAACAAGGTGAAGGCAAGGGAGAAGAGCATTCTAGGTGGGGAGAGCAGCATGTGCAAAGGCCCTGTGGTAGCCAGCAACACAGCAAGGACAAGGGCCTGAAACAAGGCCAGTGTTATCTGGAGTGAAGAGAGTAGGGCAGAGTGTGGTGGAAGATGAAGCCTTGTAGACCATGATAAAGGGATGAGTCCTTATCCTGAGTTTGTTGGTTCTGCCAGAAGACATTATCTTCAAAGACAATGGGGTCTCGAGGATTCTTGTGGCGCAGGCCTTTGGAAGCAGGGGGATGCTCCAGACTTGAGTCTGGCCCCAAGGTGGCTTTTTCTCCCTCCCCAGGTGAGTGGGACTGGCCCTTGCTGACACCCAGGGCTGTGGCTGCAGGCATCTCCATGGCTTTGGCAGCCTCCACCAGCTCCCTGGGCTGCTATGCCCTGTGTGGCCGGCTCCTGCAATTGCCTTCCCCACCTCCACATGCCTGCAATCGAGGGCTGAGCCTGGAGGGTCTGGGCAGTGTGCTGGCCGGGCTGTTGGGGAGCCCTCTGGGCACTGCATCCAGCTTCCCCAACGTGGGCACAGTGAGTCTTATCCAGGTATGTGGACAGGGGTGGGGCAGGGGAGTGGAAGTACACGAGAGGGAAGGGAACTCACGCTGACCGGTTGCCATCTGTGTCCAGCATTCTGCCAGGCACGCCTCCTCTATGATCTCATTTAGGGAGGTGCCTAGAAGTGGTAACGGCTAGGACCGTGAGGAAGACACTAAGTCACTACTCAACTCCCATACCTCCGGCACGGTACCCTTGCTGGGGCGTCTGGTGAGATCAAGTCATACAAAGTCCTTGCTCTCTTGGGCACTTCAGAGAGGGAGAGGCAGACAATTAAAAAAAAAAAAAGTAAGATAGGTACAGAGCGTTAAGTGCTATCAAGAAAACAAAGCAGGTAAAAATTGAAAATAAACTCTTAAAAAAAAAGAAAAAGAAAATGAAGCAGGGTAGTAGGGGGATAGTGGTTGAGAAAAGGAATGTCCTTTAGGTAGAGTGCTTCTCGGAAGGATCACATTTGAGTTGAGATCCAAATGATGAGAAGGGGCCAGCCAGGCAAAACTCTTGAAGAGGCAATCAAGGAGGTGGCTGTGTTTTCTAGCATCTCTGCTTCGCATAGGCTGGATCTCGGCGAGTGGCCCATCTGGTGGGACTGCTCTGCGTGGGGCTTGGGCTCTCCCCGAGGCTGGCCCAGCTCCTCACCACCATCCCGCTGCCTGTACTTGGTGAGTGGATGTATCAGCAGGACTGGTATTGAACCAGTACCCCCACCCCCACCCCAGGATGACCAACTGGTTGCTTGTGGCTGGCCCCCTCTCTTTCTGAACAGCACCCCTGACCTACGGGGTGTCAGCTGTGGGTCAGCTGCCCTCATTTTCTCAGCCCAACATCTTGGCCTCTTGACTGGGCTTCCGACATAATGGGAAAATGAGCCTTTGGTTGTCTCTCTCCATCACAACCTGCCCCACCCTGCAATACTCTCTCCTTGCCAGCCCTTCCCAACCCCTTTGATTACTTCCCTACGAGACAGGTGGGGTGCTTGGGGTGACCCAGGCCGTGGTTCTGTCTACTGGATTCTCCAGCTTCCACCTGGCTGACATTGACTCTGGGCGGAACGTCTTCATTGTTGGCTTCTCCGTCTTCATGGCCCTGCTGCTTCCGAGATGGCTTCAGGAAGCCCCTGTGCTGAGCACAGGTGGGGGTGGGGATGGGAAGAGGAGTTGGACAGTACTGGGAAAGCAAGGGCTGGAGGCTGGAGGCTCTCTAGACTCCAGGTCCCACACCCTTTTCTGTGATTTGGTGTAAATAGTTCACCCATTCGTTTAGCAAATATTTATTGAGCACCAGGCTAGCCCCTTTGGATATAAAGGGGCCTCCAGATGTTACGGTCTAACAAAAGAGATGACATGTGTAGGAACGTAACAGGAAAGGCTTAGATAAGGAGCTGGCTGGGGTGCTTGGCAGTGAGAAATGGTTTCTGCTTAAGATGATCCAAGTAAGTTTTACAGAACAAGTTAACACTGAGCTGGTTTAAAGGATGGTAAGATTTGAACATATTTAGTGAGAGGAAGGTCATTTCTGGCGGGGGAACCGTCATAAACAAGGACATAGAAATAGGGTCATAGGGTATGTCTGAGGAGTAGCAAATGCATTAGTTAGTGGAGCTTAGCAACTAGCAGTGGTACTCAACTGAGGATGATTTTGCCCCACAGGGAATATTTGACAATATCCAGAGATATTTTTGGCCATTACAAACGGAAGAGGGGATTGTTATTGGCATTTAGTGGATAGAGGGATGATGCTAAATATTCTACAATGCACAGGACAGCCCCCCTCCATCAAAGAATTATCTGGCCCAAAATGTCAGTAGTACTGAGGCTGAGACAACCAGGCTACAGCATAGAATATAGGAAGTGGGAAGTAAGGTTGGGACTTTAATACCAAGCTTTCCAGAGCCTGGAACTACCAAAGCATATTCAGAGGGCGTGTGGATGCTCAGAAGACAGGATGATAGGCAGGGACCTTGTGCGAAGGGCCTGGGTGGGGGAACTAGAGAGTAGGGGTAAAAGGTGGGGGAGATGGGAAAAGATCTGTCCTTAGCCCAAGACTTAGATTTAGGTCTAGAAGTATGACCCATTGGCCTTGCATAGGATCAGAGTTCCCCTCCTGCCTGGCCCCAACTTTCTGTAGGCTGGAGCCCCTTGGATGTATTACTGCGCTCGCTGCTCACAGAGCCCATCTTCCTGGCAGGACTCTTGGGTTTCCTCCTAGAGAACACCATTCCTGGTAAGCTGAGGCCAAGCCCCAGCACTGGGGAGCAGCCCGGATGTTATCACTCCCTGGGTAGGGCAATAGCCTGACCAACCTTTCTTTTGCAGGCACAAGGCTTGAGCGAGGCCTAGGTCAAGGGCTGCCATCTCCTTTCTCTACCCAAGAGGCTCGGGTGCCTCAGAAATCCAGGGAGAAGGCTGCTAAAGAGTACCAACTTCCTTTCCCCACCCCAAATTGGTCTCCCTGTATCCCCCAGCCCCTCCGTTGCCTCTGCCCTCTGCCTGAAGACCCTAGGAATGAGGAAGGAGGGGCCTGTGAGCCAGGAGAGACAGCAGACTTGTTGCTTGGCTTTGGGGAGCAGTGTCCTGAGTCTAGCAGAGAACTTAGGTCCCAGTGATTACCAGGACTCCTACCCCTGTCCTGGTTAGTTTAGCCCTATCTCCCAGCTTGCTGTGTGAGTCAGCTCCCAGGCTCTAATTTCTCCTAGGAAGAAGGTGTGTGTGTGTGTGTGTGAGAGAGAGAGAGAGAGAGAGAGAGAGAGAAATGGACCCACCTAAAGGTCTCACTTCCCAATAGGTGTGTTGCCTTTCCTTCTCTTAATTAGGCCTAACTGTTCCAGGCAGGGGCCATGGTTTAGTGGACCATGAATGAATGAATGAATGAGATTTTGTATGTGAACTATCTATAGTCGAACCCCAGCATGCACTTAACAAATATTTATTGAGGGCCTCCCATGTGCAAGGTCTTGGAACTACAGATATGGAGAACACAGGGTCCCTGCCTTCTTAAGGTACCTACCATTTAAAAAGCCTTCTGTAGGGGCACCTGGGTGGCTCAGTCGGGTAAGTGTCCAACTCTTGACTTTGGCTCAGGCACCGTGTAGGGCTCCGTGCTGAGCGTGGAGCCTGCTTGGGATTCTCTCTCTCTGCCTCTCCCCCTGCTTGTGTGCTCTCTCTAAATAAATAAACATTAAAAAAAAAAGACCTATGTAATTATTAATTAAAATCCAAGCCAGAAGGCAGTCTGTATTAAAGATTAAAACAATGCTATGGGAGCAAAAGAGAAGAAACAGTTAATTCTGATTGTGGATCGTGGCAAAGGCCTTATGGAAGAAGCAGCACTGAGGCTGGCCTTGACGAGAGGACTCTGGTTGTGGAAAGCGGATGGGGAGAATATGTCAGGCTCAGGCATGCAGCTGAAGCAAAACCGTAAACTGTACAAAGTACAAGATGAGTTGAGGGATTTTAAGTTTCTCCGTGGTGATGGAGCAGAAGCATGGGGGTAAAAATGGAAGGAGAAATGAGACAGGAGAGGTAAAGGATGAGGTCAGACCATGGGATTTATGCATGGAAGAATCATCTCTGAAACAACTTGAGCGCTAGTGAGGATCAGAAAATTAGTGAAGTTCAATTTCCTCATTTTATTACAAAAAAAAAGGGGGGGGGCTGGAAAG